CCCTTAGGCTCCTCGAGATCGTTGGTTGACGGCCTGCCAGAACAACCTTTTACCTGCTTTTTGTAAAGTGTCTCGAGATAACACTTATGAGTTGACGCTATACAAATAAAAATTGATTGATTGTTTGATATTAACACACACACACACACACACACACACACACACACACACACACACACACACACACACACACAGTTAACATGCTGACTCAGCTCTGCTTGACTCACTCGTGTGAATCTGATGTATTTATGATCATTTAGAAAGATTCATTGTTAGAAATGATCAGTCAGACTGGAACCTGGGGGGGATTGTCAGTGTGACTGGTAAACATAGTAATCACTCTGAGTTTCACACACCATAGGACGATACTCGACAAATACACCAACTTCAAATCCTGGTGTTTTTCACCCTTGGCCCTATGTTTAAATGAATATGTTCCAAGGTGTATCTAAGATCTATTCTGGTTACAGGAGGAGTGAATGATCGCATTACATTTAAGTGTAAAGTTCAAGGAATAAAGCCTGGTCCACGCATAGGCGGGCAGTTTTCTCGACCACAAGTTCTCAAAAACATCTTCGTCCATATTAAAACACTGTTACGGCTGTCATGAGCATGCCAAGTCAAAAACGAAGACCTTGACATGCAAAACTTTTCCTGCCATTCTTCTGAATGTCCATTTCCTTTTCAAAGTTGTCCATTCAGGCGCCTCTGCTTGTCGACATAGTGGGAGAGCAACTGTGTATGTATCTGTGCGCATGTAAAGAGTCCAGTTAGCAATGTGAAAAAGCTAAGTTTTCAAAAATACCTGCTTGTGGACCAGGCTTTAGTTTGAGAGATAAAACTATACTTGGTGTCCATTATCAGTTGATGAGAGTTTTGGGGTCCAGGATTCACTATTCCTTCTTAATTTTCTGATCTGGCAATACTACCACCGAACGTCCCTGACGCCAAGCCACATCCATCGAAATGTGTCGTCCCCTCAACCACCTCCATTCTCATTCATGCACGGCCTGCTCCGACCTCCACCTCAGCGGAAAGGAAGTGTGGACAACAGAAATGCGAGGAATACAAAGGAGGAATCCTTCCTGCATATTATCCCATCTGCTCTTTTGTAAAGCGTCTCCAGATAACACTTGTTATGAAGAGCCACTATACAAATAAAGATGAATTGACTGGGAAAATACTGACATCTTTAAAAGTTGTCTTTCATTTTGTAGTACTGATATTTTGATTGATAGTTATCCCATTCATGCTGGCAAAAACTGGATATTTTAATCAGAAAAACAATAAAATAGATTTTGTCCAATCCAGTACCCGGTCAGATTAATTTTGAGAAGCGTGGCCCTGGTTGTATTAGACATTAAACATCTTCCCGCTGTTTAAGATATGTTTGTCACAGCTATTGAAGAAAATAATCAGAATCACTGTCCATGTTTGTCACATCTCTGACTGTTAGAGTCAAACCAGGTCAGATGTCCCTCTTCCTCCAGACACATTCAGACTCTAAACAAAGTGATGAACACTTTAAGCTCCAGATTTAACTTCGATTCAGTCTGACTCAGTGATTCAACTGTTAATCCACAAATACCTAGAAGATAAATCTGTCATTCATTCAAAAATGGAGACAGAGCTCATTAAGTACTACCCACACCTGAGGGGAAACACTTCATGCCCTGCATTGGCTTTGTATTTAAAAAATGAGTCTCCGTGTTATTTTGGTCTGCTAGCAAACAACAGAAAAATTATTGTCTGACTTTTAATGTTATCTAACGTTTTAACCTGGCTTCAGGCATTTAGTCAGTGTTTCAGTATTTGGCTGCATTAGAACTGTTTCCCCTCAGGTGAGTTCACAGTACGACTTGTTGTTTCCTGTCTCCATGGCGCCAAAATAAACTAAACAATTCATTCATTGTGAGTTCACTTAAATCTGCGAAAGCTGTTTCTTCTTGACTTTATGTTTCTAATAAAGACTCAGTCATATACTAATCTGCTTATCAATCACTTAACCCAAGTATTCCAGCTCTAGGTTTGTTTTTAAAGTTCAGTTTGTTGTTGGTGAGGATTTATTTCACACAGAACATTTTATATTATTTCAAGATATTTCAGTGACTGTAATGAATAAATCAAGAGCTATCAAAGAGTCAAACTCACAGAGTGTTGTGCTTTTGTCTCATTTTGTCAAGCAGTTAATAAAGTTCAGTTTAGTCCTCCAACCAGCAGGGGGTTTATTGATTCGCTCCGGTCTTGAAAAATGAAGATACTGCAAAATCCTGCAGTTCGTCGAGTGTCCACTAGAGGCTGGCTCCGGGAACACCGGAAGTCACATACACACAACAGCCAAAAAAAGCAGTTTTAACATGTTTACAGCCTGGTACAAAAAACTAAATAGGTCTGATTAGTTATTGTCATCACTGGCACACACTTTACGAGGGGTATTTTTATTTTTTAAACAGCTCTGTTTTGATTTCCAAAACAATACGTGTTATCCATAATTAAAAAAATGTAAATGTTGTAGATTGTAAACAGGAGATTTAAGATTGAAATTAGCCCAATATTGTTCAGAAGACAACAACAACAACAAACATGTTTGGTCCAATTGACTTTAATCTTCATTGTAACAACCTAAACTTATTTTGCTACTGTTTTTCTGTTGCTAACATGCTAACATCAGTCGGCTAGTCAGCCACCATTAGACCTCATTTGGCTGCTGCTAACGAGTTAAGATTATTTTGCTAATGAGCCTTGGTTGCTAACAGGCTAAAAGTAAGAATCCAGGTCTCTAACATACTTTCTACATACTGTCTCTGTTTAAGCACAAGTTAAGACGTATAGTCATTTAAATCTTCTGTAATTGGCTGTTGACAAAGAGGCCATGCAAACTGGTGGAGTGCATCATCAAACTGGCACTGTTGTTTTGTTTCAATGTTCTTAGTGTCTCTAAATGTGTCATGATATCTGAACAGCACAAACAACACCTGTCTGTCACACTGTAGGCCCCGCCCATTTACTCATCAGTGGGCAGGGCTTCATCAAAAGCTTCCTGTATGCTTGGGTCGACGTACTCCTGATTGTACGTGACAGAATCGGCTCCAAGTTTGAACTTGTAGACAGCCAGGAGACACTGGATAGCCTAGAGACACAAAAAGGATTTAAAGAAATCAAACTTTGAAACTTCATCAACATGGCTCCACAACAGAGACGATTTAAAGGTCACATATTCAGCAAAAGACACTTGACCATGGTTTTCTAACACTAATATGTGTCCCTTACCTGTCAGATGTTTTTATATCTGCTCTTTTTCACTGTGCAGCACTTCAGTAAACTTAGGTGTTTTAAAAATGGGCTATATGATTAAAGTGGACCGGATTATCAACACAGCAACAACGAGGAATCAAACAATCGAACTTTATCAACTCGGCTTCAGCAGGCAAAGGATTCAAACCTTCCACCTCATCAAAATGGCTACATGGCAGAGGATTCAAACTGTCAAGCTTCACACATCTCAGCAAAAAGGATGTAAACCTTTAAACTTTTAAAAATTCATGATGTTATTGAAAATTCAAATGATCAAACTTTATTAACACAGCTTCCTCGGACACATAAAGTTAGACCGAGGTTTGGGATGTTCTTGTTTCCTTTGGATTCCAGTAATCAGTAAATAACTGATCTACGTTGATTATTGATCAAATCAGTTATTTAATGAGGAAATTGGGGAAAAACCTTTTCTGTTAAATTAACTGAATCAATATATTGTAAAAAACATAATTTCTAAATATTTTCTGTTTTAGTTTGACTGTGTGAGTTTCATCACAGTTTGTTAAGCTTGTTGTTCTCCATGGTCATCTTAAAAAAAACGTAACACATTTACATAATTAGTCAACCTTTATGAGCTGTTTGAAGGATTTACTGCCATCTAGTGGAGAGGTGGCAGATCGTAGCCCCTGAGCCTCCCTGAGAAAATAAAAAGAGCTTAGTTTCTGATATGAGATCCCTCTAAATTCACTACTCAGAGGGATTAAACCTTTAAACTTTTGAACATGCATTGAGGTCATAAAAGATTCAAACCATCAAACATTATTAACGCTGCTTCCTTACACCTTAAACATAAGAACATAGTAATAAAGATTACACATTTAGTTTCTGACAAGATCCCTCTTAATCTCAAATACTAGATAGTTAAAGAATGTGCAACTTCTTGATCCAGTAGATGTCGCCCTTGAGCACCAGCATGAAACCAAAACAAACTGCGACACCTCCGCCGTACTGAAGCCTCCGCTCTCCTCCAGCGACACACCTCCAACCTCTCTCCACACACGTTCACACGAAGGAATTAAGCACCATTAAGCACAAGTGGTGGACAGAAATGTCTTTTGCTCAAGCTGCAATCACCTGTGGCCTCCATTTTTGTGTTAGCAGGATAATGTTAGCACATTTTAGTTAGCCTGTAGCTTCATATTGCACATACATTGACAATGAATGCCCGTGATCTAAAGATACTTACATGGCATCCAAATAAGCAGTGAGTATGTTATTCTAATTTTCTCTAGTCCTGGACTAAAACAGTTTAATACACAAGGCCGTCCCGTCCATGTAAACATTATACTATAACCCCTAACCCTAACCACGGCCAAGGGAACACGCTCTGACATGATAGATCTTTGCTCTTGTCTAAGGTCTCTCTGTCTCTCCTCGTTGCCGGCAATGCGGCATCGCTAGCAGTGGATCTCAGGTTCGTTTATTATACTATTATATTGTATTCTACAGTATTACGTCCTATTGTTTCATCAGGTACTATTCTGCATCAGATGGTTTTTCTAATGTGTAGTATGATATCATTCAGAATCAATATGCATCAAAGTGATCGATTCAAAATGAGGTCTTTCAGTCTGAAAAAAGCAAAATTATAGGACAACGCAGAGGAAACGTGACATCACAGTGACATCAGGATGACATTAAGGTGACTATAATAGATCCTTCATGAACTTTATAAAGACACAGTGTCATAGTTTATAACTTTAATCTTCATCACAGGTCATAACGTCATTGTAATGGATCAAAATATAGGATGACATCATTGTAAATATCAGGACATTACTGTCTAATAATAATATCAATAATAATGAAAAGGAAAAACACTGCTGAGGAAAACAAACATCACAGAAGGCACTTTGGATTACAGGCACTTCAGGCAGCCAATGCTGAGAAGGAAGCAGGAGGCACAGGGATGCTGGTCTCCGATTGGCTGAAGGAGAAAGGTGAGGTTATTTGTTTGTGTGTGTGTGCATGCGTCATGGTGTGTGTGTGTGTGTGTGTGTCTCAAGCAATCGGCGGGCTGAATAGTTTGTTGTATTCTTCTTCGAATGAGACTCTCTTCAGGCGCTCCATGGACAGCAGAGTGAGACCTCCCTGTACAACACATCACGCACAATTACACAAATTACGACATAGAAAACACATACACACACACACACACACACACACACACACATTACAACACAACACAGGTCACAGAAAACACACATGAACACAGACAGAGGAGAGAAGAGTGTTAAGTCACCTGACAGTCTGTTCTCCCACAGCTTTCAATTCAATTTCAATCAGTCAGAGGTCATCATGTGACCTTTACTCATACCACTGAGTCCACATGTTGTGTGATCACATGTTGAGGTCAAAAGCTCCAGAAAAAAGAAACTGAAGTCAAAAGTTGACTAAGTTTGAATTTCCATGATGATTACTGGGAGAAAAACAGAAAATGTCTTTCCTGAATGTTTTCATCATAAACCCCCCGATGTTTTTTGGGGATTTAGAAACTCAAAATCACAACAAATCACTAATGTTTTCTTGAGATTCATCGAGTTGAGCTGTCTAAGCCAGCGTAATTTTCATTGGACACATTTTACAGTGTCGGTGTAAGGTAGTATAGCAGAACCCATACTAAATAAATTGTTTTAAAGAGTTCATATTCTGCCCTTTTTGGGGTTTGTATATTTAATCTATGTTCCTACTTTTGTACGTTCACAATAGCTAAAGTTCTAAAAAAGTGTCTGTTTTCATGTACTGCTCCTCCTTGCTCCCTCTACGCTCTGAGTCAGTCAGCTACACTCTGTTGAGCCCACACTGTTAGACCCCACGTGGGCCAAGTCTGCTCTGATTGGTCTGCCGATCCGCTCTGTCGTTATTGGTCAGTTGCTCAGCACGCTTCTCGGAAATTTCCACATGAGCTGCAGGGCTTGCCACAACGAGCCAATGGGCTTAGATCAGTGATCTCACACTGACAATGATGCCACACTGACACATTTTTATGGAGGGGGCCTAGAACCGAGCGTTACATGCGGCTAATGCTACAGCTAACAGGAGGAGGTGGGAGAAGCCGTGTTTCCACGGACTTTGAATTTTTGCACATAGATGTGCCTAAACATGCACAGGACACTTGGAAAACACACTAAAGAGCAAATAAAACCAGACAAAGAAGAATATGGGACCTTTAGATTCATATTAAACCACAGGGTTCGACAGTTTTTCAGTATGTGCTGGCTCAAGTGAGTGTCATGTGTTCAGGTGATTAGTTCAGGTACATACCCAGGAAAAAACAGAGAAGAAGCAGAAGATGATAGCAGCTCTCGCAGCATCTGCACCTTCATTTAAAGGGTTGTCTTCTTCTTTAGATACCTGCCACTGATTGGCCAGAAAACAGAAACCCAGGAACCAGACCAGAGACCAGACAGCTATAGAAAAACACAGGCAGCACCTGGTTACAAAACAGGTAAAGTATCCCAGGTAACACATACTGTACATGCATATGCTGGGAAAAATCAAAGGTTACTCGTGGTAATCAAACAAGACAGGTTAGGATTACTTCATGTTCACTATGGTGAAGAGTTCAGGTGTCACACGGTTACTCAACAGGTAAAAATCAAAAGTTACATTTTCAGCATACAGGTTAAATTAGAGACCCTAAAGTTACACAGGGTTTATTCAACAGGTACATATCATTGGCCACAGATATACCAATCAAGTAAAGATTAAATCATGGTTATAAAACAGGTAAACATCACAGCCTACACATGTCAACTAAACAGGTATAAAATAATGTTACACAGAGTTTTTAAATGAGCAAAGATCACAGGTAACATATGGTTGGTGAACAGGTAAGGTTAAAAGGTTACGCATGGTTACTAATTGGGTAAAGATCACAGGATACACAAGGTTAGTAGACAGGTTAGTTCACAAACTACACGGTAAACTACCACGTTGAGATCAAAGGTTACAAGTGTCTGCAAAACTGGTAAATAATGTGAGAGTCTCACCTGACACGCCAATATCAGCCATAACAGCCTTCTTCCTGTCCTTAACGCCGCTTATTTGAGGAAAGTAGAGGTCCAGCGCCAGGAAAGCGCTGCAGCAGAGGAAACACAGAGTTCCCGTGGCGACAGAAAAGTTACAGACATTTTGGTTGCGGTTGAAGATGCAGAACTCTTCAACCTCTTCAGGACGGTTGACGTAACCCTCATTGGCAATGCAGCCGAGGATCACGATCGAGAAGAGCTGGAAAGAAAAACACAAGAGAGCTGGCTGAATGCTAACCGAAGAATCCACGCTTGGAAAAAGAAGCTAGATGCTAACACTAAGAAGCTATTCAGATCAGAAAGGTGTAAACTGTTAAAATCAATGGTTTATCAACGATAAAATTTACTTTGAAAACAGAATGGAACTGAGTTAAAATAGAAGATGACTTGAGCTTAAGGCGTTCCTAATTAACTGGTCAATATAGACCATAAATGTGAATACAAGTGGATGAAGCCTGAGTGATATCACTGCAGGGGGCTCTGGAGGCACGATGATGGTGGTTGCCATGCTGGAAATCATGTCTTATCCTAACTTATGACAGCCAAAGAGCTGCAGCTGAGGCGTGTTTTAAGCCTCCTATTAAACTGCAACAAGGCGCCCAACCATCAATCAGGTCAGTCTTGCACCTAGCTATGCATAACTCCTATCGTTCTTAGATTAAATGTGTTATAAAAAAATCAACACACTACAATGTGTGCCCATGAGGACATCAGCTAATCAGACCAAAGTTGTATTCTTGTACAAGGCTGGATGTTATTTTCTGCTGTAGAAATGGGAGTATGTACTCTGTTGATCTTGAAGCCAGCCTCAAGTGGACGCTTAATGAACTACAGTGTTTTCTACTTTCGCATTGCCTTAATTTTTTAACTCCAGAGGTTGTCGCTTGTTGGTCAATGCTACCAACATCCTTCTAATATAAACTGTCCAAACAGATCACACTGTCTATACTCAGTAAACCATTTAGTTAAAGCACACTGTCTTGCGCAATCAGAGCAGCTACAGTTTGACAAAATGAGGTCTTGTTAGAGGAGTCTTGTGTTGAGCCTCAGGAATGTTAACACCAGTCTCATGACCAACACACACACGCACTCAAACTCCAACTCACACACATAGTATACATAACATCTCAAACCGAGCTTCAAGACGACAAACCTTAACTAACCTGATATAAACCATGAAGAAACCTGAACTAAACAGGACCTAAAGGTTCAATAAACTAACCTAACTAACAGTTACAGAGCTCAACTTATATTAAGTAAGTAAAACATGAAAGTAAATAACTTGGTAAAACAAACCAGTGCTAACAAACCAAGACCAAACTAAATTCAGAATTAAAAATAATGCTAGACAAAAAGTTGCGATAACCAACTTTTAAAGTCTACGGAAGCCCTAAATGGACATAGATTCATACATTTTAATTCACTCAATTGACCCATGATTCCAGGTTGTTTCCCCAAGATCTCTGATTTACGTTCCCATTATCTTGAGACAGCAACATTGGTTTTCCCATTATAGCGAGTAAATGTTTAGAAATCTTGTGTAACAACTGAACTGAACTTTATCACAGGTAACCAGCGGTTATTTAGTTAAAAAGATATTGAGAAAATAACAAAAATGTACTTGTTATCGCAGGAAAATGAAGTCAAATAAAATGTAAAGATACATTTCCTGTAAGGGTTTTCTGTACTTATAAACCATTAAAACCAACATAAATTAAGCTTTTAGTAAAATGAAAATAACTAACAAACCCAACTAAAACACTTTTAACGTGATATATAAAACAGAATAGTGAGTTATTAGCATCGGCTTAGCTAACTAGCATGTTGCTGGTTAGCTCAGAAGCCACAGCAGTTCAGCTACATCACCAAAACAAATATTTTACAGAGTGAAATTAATTTATTTCACTGTTGTGACAAGTAGCCCCGCCCACTCAGAGCACCTGGACTCAAACGTTGGGACCTCACCAGTGTGACCTCATCTGGGTTGCCTCACAGGTGAGCTTGTTTTGTCTTTCACATGAAGATTCATTCAGTTATATTTGATAGTTATAATGTTTTCCGAGCACACACATCCTGTTGATATAGTCATCGTCATCACACTCACCCAGCAGAGGATCCTCACCACCGTCTGAGGTTGCCTCAAAAAGGTCTGGGGTTCAAAAGCTCCACCTGCCTTCCCCGCCCCGTACGCCTGAAAACCATCCATCCAGTTGCCTGCCTGTTCCCCAGACCAGTTTGGACCGGCTCAGACCAGTTTGGACCTGTACAGCCCACCTCAGTCTGCTCCACCTCCACCTCCACTTCCAAGACCACCACCCAGCTCAGTCCAGTAAGTTACTACCCAAATTTAGTTGGCCCTAGTCCACTTCGGTCCAATCTGTCCAGTTACTCCAGCTTGGCCCAGTTTGGTATAGTTTAGCCCAGTTAGTCCAGTATGGTCCAGTTGGGTCCAATGGTTCTCTGTACTGGTCTTTCCACTTCTCCTCTGCTGGTGTAAACTGTAATCTGCTTTAATCCTTCTCATCCCCCTCCAGGAGAGTGTGAGGATTTGTTGCCCCTGAGTGGAGTCTCACAGGCTGAAGGGTGTCTCCACCAATCACATGGTTTGATTTCTTTCATCTTAGTGCACAAGTCTCCCAGTCAAACAGAAGGAGGCGGGGTTACACTGCATGAAAGGAAGTGCTACCTGTGAGGCTACATGTAGGGCAAATTAAGCTCATATACCTTCTGCCCTTCTGCCCTTCTGCCCTTATTTCCTCCCTTCTTTTTTGACTTTCAGTCTTTCTATTGAATTTCTTTCTTTCTTTATCTTTTTGCTATTTTTTTTCTGCTGATCAGCAAAATAACACAACTATCAGCTTGAATACATTCAATCTGAAAACATATTTAATCATTTTTAGTATTTCTCTATGAATAACTTTAGTATGTATTAGCTAATTTAATTACGTATTCATTTGATTAATCAAACACCATAAACTGTATTGGTTCTGATTGTCCTAAGGGTGGGCTGCAGCAGCAGACTTCACTACTGTCATGATTTGGTCTGGTTTAGTTTTGTAGTTCAGAGTTTAGATGTATTTTGCTTGTTTTAGTTCTCATTCTTTCCCAGTGTTGCTTGTTTACCCTTGTGTGTTATCTTTAGTGCTTTTATTTTGTAATTTCTTATCCTTGTGTTTCTATGTTTTAGTGTATATTGTTACATTCATGAGTTTTCTGTGTTTCTATGTTGTAGTTTTTACCCCCCGTGTATTATGTCTATAGTGTTTCTTCTGCCTGTGTGTTTCCCTCCAGCTTTGATTGCCCTCATTGTCCTCACCTGTGTCTTGTTAGTCTCACCTGTGTCTGATTACCCAGTCTATGAAGGAAAAAAGTGAGGAGGATGATTGTGTGTTCCTTTGCAGATTGTCTGTAAAATGGATGACTATTTTCTTCATCTATCTGTATGAACTTGAATTCGTATGAGAGGGGCTGTGGTGTTGTTGTTTGTCTTTGTTATATTGTACTGTGTATAAGTGTGTATGACTGTATGTGACCCCAGGAAGACCCCCTGATGCTTATGCTGTTGATAATGGAGATCCTAATAAAGAAAGAAAGAATTGAACGTTTCCTCTGAAAACTGTGAAGAAGTGGATGGTTTCTATAGTAAGACATGGCTGACATGGTGTGTGTGTGTGTGTGTGTGTGTGTGTGTGTGTGTGTGTGTGTGTTAATAGGATCATTGTGAGCTCCATCTGTCACTGTAGAAACATTAAGGGTTTCCTTTTGTCTTTGCATTTACCAATTTTGTGTTTACATTTCTGAAACGAATAGAGAAAATAAATGAAAGTAAATGGCATTGATTGGAAGTTTTTATTTAAAATGAGAAAAATACATTTGAAAGTCAATGTTGGGTAAAGGTGACATTTTAATTCCAACTTTCTAAAGGTTTGATTTGGAATATAAATTTAAGACACAATGGTTTCAGTCATAATTTTTAAACACTATTAAAAAGATTGCGTTTAAAAAAAAGTTTAAAATAGTTTTAGCAATTTACTTAAGTATAGTTATCATGTAATGACATAAATAATGTAACTATGAAATAAATATTTTAACATTTGAGGAAAAATATCTAAAAAGTTTAAATAAAAAAGTGGGTAAATATAATCAGTGAGAATAGAAACAAATTGAAAAGTAAATATCCTGAAGATATGATGAGAGCCATTTTTATTAAATGTTTTAGTTGATGAATATAAAAAACTGAATATTGCACATATGCGGGGAGGTACACATAGAAAGATACAATTCTTAAGAAGAAGAAGGTGATCCTGTAACCAGAAAGTCTATGGAACTGCTGTTTCTACTGGAGTTACGATTATCAAGAATAAAGAGGAAGAAAAACATGGCGTCCTCCTTTAGTTTCATTTGTTTGAAGTTCTCCTTAGTGATGAAAACAAGTATGTGTGTGTGTGTGCAGGGTCATGGACTGTGTGACAGCGCCATCTGCTGCTGTTTCCCCGTCAACACATACAGCTGTTTTAGCTCCGCCCACCAGTCTCTCGGACGATGCCAACGTGGCCGAAGCAACAGGTCGTTCAGGAGAGCAGCAAGACACGCCCCAAGACCGGGCCCCACCCAGAACACCTGAGGAGAAACAGCCAATCAAAGCAGAGTTTCAGAATGACACTTCATGTGTCCGTGTGGTTTTGTGCGTGTGTTTGTGCGTGTGTTTCCTGACCCAGTGGTTGTTGAAGTCGAGAGTGACGACAGCTGGACCGAATGAACGAGCCGGATTCATCCCACATCCTGTCGCACTCACCTTGAGAGAGAGAGAGAGAGAGAGAGAGAGAGAGAGAGAGAGAGAGAGAGAGAGAGAGTACTGTTTCAGAAAGGTGAGCATGCTACTGTTTTGGAGCCATATTCGAGAGAGGCAGGAAATATTTTAGCTACTTGTTCATCACCGGTAGTCATCCACAGCGTTATGTCCTATTTGATTTTGGGACCATAATTTATGATGAACATCATTTAAAAATTAACTAAACAAAAGTTAAATTTAAGACCATAATCTCATTAGGAAAGTGTTTCCTGATGTTATAAATCAACTGAGAAATTGGCTCATTTTGAGGCTCCGGTAGCGTAGTGGTTAGTGTCTGCAGCCCTGGTTCGAAACCACCCTGTGGCTCGTTTTCCGCAGTTCATTCCCCATGCTCTCTCTCCCCGATTTCTCACGGCCATATCTTTCAAATAAAGGCATAAAAAGCCTACAATTAAACCTTTAAAACAAATAAATTGTTTTGTCTTCTAATCAATCCTTTGGAAAAGGTGGAGTCGCTCCCTGCTGGGCATTAGAGAGAATGCAAGTTTTAAAAAGTTTATTTTTAAAGGTGCAGCAATTTAAGACAAAGAAAAGAGACTCAGTGAGCGAAGGCCTCAAGGGGCGAAGTTTATAATAAAAAGGAGCTCTCTGTTGTCTGTTCTCTTCCAAAGATTGTTTATAAGAGAAGAGAAGCACCACAGTGCCATCACATGTTTTTCAGCTGATCACATCAATAAGACCTTCAGTAGTTACGTATTTGCGGAATTACTTTAAACATGGAAATCAGGTTTATGTCTCAGTTTTGTTGTAAATAATGTCTCGTAAGCTTAAAACAGCTCATAAAATCACTCCGCTGTTTCACAGGTGTTCTTCAAGTTAAGGGGGGCATGGTCTGATCAGAAATCACAGGATTTTGAAATCTGCAGCTCAGTCGAGACTTACTGCAATTAAATGACCCAGACTGACAGCCAGGCCAACCAGCATGTTTGACACCACAGCTGGAAGGGAGGCATCAACCATGGCCAAGACCACCAGGGCAAGCTGGAAAGTTGCCAGTGTTTCCACGGTGACGGCCTGGTGGAGCTGAACACCTGGAACAACCTAAACAGAACAGGCAGATTAGTTGTTCAGCTCGAGTTAGTTGCGTTCCGATTCTCTGATGGGCGACCACACAGATGCTCACCTGGTTGACGGCTGGAGTCACGTCTCCAGTCAGCAGCAGCAGAAGTGCAGCAGAAGCCACGCCCCCTAGAAGCTGTCCAATCACATATAGGGCTGCCCTCCATGGGCGGAGCCTAAGGGTAAGGAGCATTACTATAGTAACCGCTGGGTTCAGGTGGACTTCCCCGCCCACGCAGAATGCTGCCATCGCAAGTGACAGACCAAACACCAGCGCCACCTGCAGACAGCTCGGAGGTGAGACAGGTAGGGAGCTCAGGTGGCAATGATTACAGAGCTTGCGCTGGTTGTTGCCTAGGTTGATCTTTTCAATCAGGTTGCTCTCATTGCACAGGCTTCTTTGGATGCACATGTTGCACAGGTTGCTCAAGTTCCACTGATTGGTCTCGCTGCTCAGGTTGCTTTGGTTGCACAGGTCACTCTGATCAACTAGGTTGTTCAGGTTGCTCTGGTTACACACATTTCCCAGGTAGAACAAATTGCTTATGTTGCTCTGGTTGCCCTCAGACCTCAGATTCAGTTGCTGCCTTCCAGTGGCTAGGGGGAATGTTAAGACAGCTGATAGGCTGGCAGACAGGAAGAGGGCAGTGCCTAAGAACTCCAGCAAGAAGTGATGTAAACAAGATAGAGTCCAGATGTCAGTCAGGATCAGATGCAGGCAACGACGGATATGCATGATTGCAACTTGATTCATTTACCTGCAACACAAACCAGCAGTGGTAAGCTGTAGAGATCTGCAATAATAATGTTGTGTCATTTTTCCTTTTTATATATATTTATATACAAAAAATCTTTAAATTTCATTTTAAATGAGCTATCTGAAGAAATATGTTTTTGATGGAATATCAAACATGATATATCTGCTGTGTTATAATAGTGACCTGATGAATCTGTGCAGGACACTCAAAGAAATGTGGTTGTTATTAATCTCAGACGTGCCCGTTTGGACTGCTCTTCTTTGTTATTCTTTCCTCTTCGCTTTAGTCAAATCCACAAACTGTGATTAAGAACGAACAGAAGCCCGAGCCTCCAAAAGCCTCAAACTACTGATAACAATCCTTTTAAACAATTATCCACAAACACACACACAGTCGCCCACTGGATTATAGCATCCGTGGCTTCCTGCACATTTACCAAAGATCCGATTTATGTAAGTGATAAAAACACGACTGGTTAATATCCTCTCTCTGCAGAGCATCATCCGTTTGTCATGAGGCAAGCAGCAACGACGGTCCACCAGCATCAAGAAACTGGGGTGAGAAAACTTGAAACATACCCGTCAAACACAGCAAGGAGTCCAAACAGAGGCGGATCACAGCTGAGGATCACAGGTGGTGTTCAGGTGAGTCCTGTGTTTCTGCTGACTGTGCGTCTCTTATAGAGCTGAATGGAGGGGGGAGGGGGGGGGGGGGTCTCAGCTCACAGACACTCATCTGAGAGGATGGCTTCCTGTTTCTGTTCAATCACTGATCACAACTATATCAATAAAATTAAACACAATTTTTAGCATCTATAATAATAAAGGAAGAAGCAAAAATAGATGTCAGTGTTCAACAGAAAAAACATTTGTACTATAGTCATTGTCTGAAGTGTTACTCTAACTTTCTGAATGTTTTAAAGCCCTCTGTACCTTTATATCTTCGTTGCCCTTTTCTGCCATTCTGTACTACATTTGGTAATTTCCTCTACTGCCCTCTGCTGTTTTTATTGTGACTCCACTTTGGTGTGTTTCTTTACTGTATTCCTTGGCACTTCGATTTTACTGCACTACACTGCAGGTTTTTTTTTTTTATCACACTTCCTTTCACCGTGCTGCATTTCATTAGTTCACTGTACCGTGTCTCACACTGTAATGTTTCTTTGCTGCACTAAATACCTGTCTATGTGTCTTTTCTGCACTCTGTTGTGTTTTTTTTTATTGCACTGTACTTTACAGCTCTCTGTCTCGAACTGTTGTCAATAACAAACATATCTTCTGTTTACTTGTATCGTGGCTATGAGGTTTTTTTCCCCTGAGGACCGAAACATGAATTCCTCACAAGTCTAGAGCTGCTAATGTGTGTGTGTGTGTGTGTGTGTGTGTGTGTGTGTGTGTGTGTGTGTGTGTGTGTGTGTGTGTGTGTGTGTGTGTGTGTTAGCGTTAGCCTAGATGCAGGCGCATATAGAGAAGCTTTAACCAGGGCAATAACACTGCCTGTCCTTCATACTGCAACCTGAGAGAGCTGTGTGTGTGTGTGTGTGTGTGTGTGTGTGTGTGTGTGTGTGTGTGTGTGTGTGTGTGTGTGTGTGTGTGTGTGTGTGTGTGTGTGTGTGTGATTCTGCTCTCTACTGCTCTGACATTTAAGGACAGCATTAACAACCAAATAATGAGTGAAAAATCTCCGGAAGTCGCTTCTTTTTTTAGACTAAAAGACCCCATTAGTGTGTGTTTGACGGGTCTGTATTTCAGTGTGTGTGTGTGTGTGTGTGTGTGTGTGTGTGTGTGTCTGTGTACAGGAGTGTGTGGGTGTTTTCCCTCCATTAACGAGGTCTCACATTTCTGGAAAGCTCAGAGATTTCTTCACTTTCACTGGGCGTCCTGAACAACCTTCAGACAAGAAACTGAACCATTTTACTGCAGATATATTTCTATCAGTCTGTCTGTATGTCTGTCCCTCTGTCCCACTAACTACCTATCTGCCTGTCTGTCTTTCACACTACCTGTCTGTCCTACTTTCTTATTCATGGCCTTATAACTGAGGAGATCAGGGCAGCACAGTGGGACCTTTCTGCAGGAAGTCGGCATGTCCTCCCTGTGCATTTGTGGGATCCCTCCAAGCTTCCTCCCACAGTCCAAAGACAAGTTTGTTAGGTCAAATTAGTAACTCTTTATTACCCATCTATGTGAGTGAGAGTATGAGATTTAGGGCACTGCAGTCTAGCACTGCTAGTTGCTACATTTCTATAGCTAGTTTAAAGGCTTTATATGTGATTTTTTGATCCAGCAGATGTCGCCCTTGAGCACCAGCATGAAACCAAAACAACTCGCGCTGCATTGTTGTGTTAGCATGCTAATGCTAGCGATCTTTATTATGCTGGTATCTTCACACTGCATGTAAATTTACCTGAAATGAGCGTGATCTAGAAACACAGTTAAGCAGTGAGTACAGTATGTTATTCTTCTTTTCTCTAGTCCCTCAATTAAACAACTTTTATACACGAGGGGAGGAGTCAGCCGGCCGTCCGGGCGATGTAAACAAAGTGAAGATAGGACTCTGAAAACTCTGAAAACATCACAGAGAGTGGGACTCGGGTGTTACACCCATTGTAGACAGTCATGACTCACAGAGTTATTTTCAGAGGATATACTGGATTTATATTACATTTAAGTGTAAAAAAATCACATATAAAGCCTTTAAAGAGCTCCACAGGCGTTCCCAAGACGGTTGAAACTTGTCCATGCACCTCTGTGACTTAAAATTTCCTTCTTCTTTTTTTATTGGTACCAGAGAGTGAAACCCTTTTTTGGACTTTTACATCAAATCAAAAGCAAAGCATGGACTTCTTATTGAGAAATGGGGGATGATGCTTCTAATGACCAAAAACTGTGGGAACTCCCTTCATGTTGTCAACGTGACTTGGTTGTCCTTGACCCACCCACTCACATACACAGACCCAAACAGTCAGTTCAGTGTGTAACATTATATAGATGTGTGTGATGCCTGTTTTCACAGCGGCTTATCTGTTACTGGAAACACAGAATGGCATGTTTGTAAGGTTCGTCCATACATCAACGTGACCTCAGTGTCTTCTTATTTCATTCTCTGCTTCATCAGTTTGATCAGAAACGACGTGAGGACACATTGCTCTGACATGTTCCTGTAACCTGGAGGACTCACTGAGGTCAACATGCTCTATTTAACAACTGTTTTATGCCTTTGAAAACAAGAAAACAGAGTTTATGTCAATGCTCAAAAGCAGTCCTGCAGCTGCTACTGAGCACATAATCTATCGTTGAATTTCATTAACACAGTTATTTTCTTAACATACATCTTCCGTCTACATTTTTCTCATATTTGTTTGTTTTTAATAAGTCGTTCTTTACTTTTCTCTTTAAATATTCAAACTGTATTTGTCAAAGTTGCATGTCAGTTACAGTTATAATGTAATTTCTAATCTTGATGTTTTTATCTCTCATCATTGCCTTCAAAACAGAATATATTTAAAAATGAAGACTACAGTTTTAGGTTGTAAAAGATACAAAATGTATCTAACTGCAGTCTTACTGAGAAGTGTTTTGTTGGATTTACAGTAACATGTATTATATTAGGTTTAGTAAAAGGTTTGGTGCATTGAAATATGTATTTATATAATGACTTCAATCACTTGTTTTCTTCTTCCTCCTCTTCTGAATGGATGATTTTTGGGGCTAACCTCTAAAATCTTCTCAACATGGCTTTTTAAAAGCTGTAGTGTTGATTCTGTCCAACAGAGGGCAGCAGAGACAGTGAGCAGAGATAAATGCTAAGTGCGCCTCTATCTCCTTTTCTTTCTCCAACTCCTCCTGCCCCCCTTTCCCCCCCCCCCCTCCTCCCCTCCTCTTTGTCCTCTATTCCTTTTTCTTCTGTTTCTTTAGTTAATGTTTGAGGACAGCAGAAGTAGCAGAATCATCCATCTTGGCCCCTGATCAATAATCTATCAGCTTCAAAGTCTGATCCATTACTGAACTCACTTGTGTGAGTTGAGTGAATGAGTGTGTGTGTGTGTGTGTGTGTGTGTGTGTGTGTGTGTGTGTGTGTGTGTGTGTGTGTGTGTGTGTGTGTGTGTGTGTGTTTCTGTGTGTAAGTGAGGTCCCTGCAGCTGAAAGACAATCAGGACAGTCCCGCTGTATAGTGCAGAACAAGTGTAATATCATACGGCAGTGTTTGTGTGTGCATGTGTGTGTGTGTGTGTGTGTGTGTGTGTGTGTGTGTGTGTGTGTGTGTGTGTGTGTGGGCCTGCGTGTCCTCTGTACAGATGTAGGTTGATCTAAATAAATGTTGCTTAATGTGCTGCTTAATCATATTACAATATACACACGAGGAAGGTTAAACAGCTGGTTGACCTGGTCAGCATTTGAAGTCATTCGGTCTGTAATTGGGAAATGTAACCCACTTTAGCCTGATAGCACTGCAGGATGTGATCGAGTATGTGGCTCTACAGATGGAGGACAGGAACATCTAAACCTGATCCACTTATTTATCTCTTTAAACAATCGCTGCAGACATACCGCAAACTCATTGTTAATTCACTGTCAGCTCACTGCAGAATCATTGTTAAACATTCTTTACTCACTCTAAGCTTACTGGAAACTTAGAGCAAGAGTCACTCTTAATTTACTGTACACTCACTGCAAACTCAATACACTCACTCACTGTACAATCATTATAACCTTGTTGTGCGCTCAGTGTAAACTCACTGAATACTCACTGTAAGATGTCCCTCTACACTGACTGTAATTTCACTGCAAACACGAGAAACTCACTGTAAGCATACTGCAAATTTAATGCAAACTCCCTGAAACTCAAACTAAACTCACTGAGGACTCGTTGTTAATTCATTGCAAATGTATTGTAACCTTATTGCAATTCACCCTAAGACATCACAGAGTGTAAACTCGCTGTAAATTCACCCAAAAATCTCACTGCAAAATCACTGTAAACTCACTGTAAGATACATTGACTGTCATTCCGCTGCAATCCCATGGGAAACTCACTGTAAGCATACTGCAAATGCATTGCAAACTCATGACAGAGTCACTGTAAACTTCCTGTAAACTCACTTTGAACTGACAGTAAAATCACTGCAAACGCTCTGTAAGTATACTGCAAATTTAATGCAAACTCAAATCACTAACTGTGAGAACTAACTAACTGAGAAGTTACATACTGCAAGCATGTTGAAGCTCACTGACGACATCACACAGAGTATAAACTCACTGCAAAAACTGCAAACTCACTGTAAACTCACCTTAAAAAAACTCTCAGACTCACTGTAATATCACTCTATACTCATTGCAGTGTCTCTGTAAACTTACTATAAACTAAGAGTTAACTCGCAGCAAACTTGACCTAAAGACGCTGCAAACTCGCTGTAACGCTGCTGCAGACCAAATGCAAACTTACTGTACACTCACAACGGTTAACTCTAAATTCAGAAAAACAATGCTGCATGTTTTTGAATGTGTTTTGTAACTTTTGTTGTGAGATGATGACAAGCGGCATGTCATCTTTTGCCCTGTCCAGTGTCCAGTGCTTGTAGACTTACTGCTGGGTCTATGTAGGTATTTACTGAAGAAACTCTACCATTCTAGTCCATGAAGAACACAAAGTTGTCCAACCTGACTCTTCATTAACAGATTTTCCTTCTCCGTGTAGTAAAATCTGTGACCTTGCTCATACTGTGTGTGTGTGTGTGTGGTCCCCAGAGGACAGGTGAGTCTTCCTCTTCGCAGGTAAAAAAAAAAAAAGGTGCTGCTGTGTCTCTGGAGAGCCGGATGAAGAAGGAATGGAGGATAAAAATAAAAAGTGGACACCTTGTCGGAACAAATTCTGCCAGCGGAGATCCAAACAGCTCTGGGATGTAAGCGCTGAAACGTCTTCTGACAGCTGCTCGGCTCGTTATAGCTTACGGCTCAGACTTTAACGCTGGAGTCATTGCATCACCCGAGTCGCTAATGAGACATTTCCTTCTCATTAACTGAATTCTGATTAAAAATGTGAGGATGCAAAAGATGACCTATACGACAATTACACTTCATGTTTCATCAAGAATATTTCTGATGTTTACTTAAGATCTGTACAGACACTGTGCTAACACAAACCCTCAGCAGGAACCTTCAGGCACAAACAGGCCCTGACCTTCTGACCTTCTGACCTCAACACAGCAGACAATATATCTCACTATCAAATTAGGAAGTATTTATTCTGCACTTTAAATGGAAATTAAAAACATTTAAAGGAAGAATGTACAACTTTTTGATCCACTAGATGTCGCCCTTGAGCACCAGCATTTAGAGCAAGCCTCAAGTGGACACTTGAGGAAGTACAGTTTTTTGGTACTTCCACTTTTGTATTAATTTTACAACACAGGGGGTAGCTGCTTGTGCATGCACAGGATAATGACACACATCATGTTGTGCGATATGGGTAATGTACAATATGTGTGGCGGTGTCTTTTGGTTTGAATTGGTATGTTGATGTGTTTGTTTCTATTGATTTGATTTATTGATTCCAATGTAGAGGCAGCTGAATGTTTGCAGCACTTGGAGTCCAAGACAAATTTCCCAAAGGGGAAAATAACGTGTATTGAATCGTATTGGAAGTATGGAAGTTTCTGCAGATATTAGCTTTCTAACATGCAAAGACATGAGAACATGCTCTGGTTGTCCTCAAAGCAATCAAAAGAATCCAGACCTTGGAGTGCAGCTTGGGGTTGGCTTAAGGTGGCTTGACCTTGATCTGTGGAGCTCAGCCTGGCACAGAGAAGAAGAAAAAGAATAAGAACAACAATTAACAAAAAAGTAAATATTCAGTTTTTCTTATGAAAAAGAAAAAAAGCAAAGTCTTAATCAAACAGCTAAAAAAATCTAACATCTGACTGAAGTGAAAAAAACATGACTATTTCTTTAGGACAAGACATTACTTTCTTATATTTTAATTTTAAACAAACCTGAATCCTTGTATTCTGAAATGCAGTCCTGGAAAGTTTGAAACACACTGCAGGTGAATATTTACTGACTGTGTGAACAGGAGGATTTTATGTAACCGTGGTGAACACCAAGGCAATATAAAAACAGAATTATTTTTCAAATTGGCAGTTTTCTTTTGTGATGTTTTTATCCAGAAACTGGCTTCAGCTGCTTTATTTGTCTTCAAAACATAAAATGAACTTCATAAAATGAATCATACCCAGATTCTAACTGCTCAAGCACCGCGAAAAATCCCGCAATTTAAGATCAACCTAAGATGTAAAAAAAAAGTTCAGAACATAAAATACAAATATCGTAGATGAATGTGGAATGATTACAATGATTGAAAGTAAAAATAAACAATGAATACTGTTGTGAAGGAATAAGTCGCACAGTATTTATTGTGTGAGTTATCCCCTCTCCCCCTCTAGTTTACTCTCTCCCCCTCTCTGATTGGCTCGCACCCTGCAGCAGCCTCCCCTCAGCAGCATGCGCTCCTCCGGTCTGTCAGTGTTCTGTTGCAGGACCGGCTCTCTGTACGCAGGACTAATGACAGACTCGGACCAGGTTAGACTCGTGCCAAAACGGACCGGCTGAACCGAATTCTCTGTATTCTGTCTGTTCTGTGTGAAGGATCTTAACCGGCTCTCTTGGGCTTGGTTCGGCTCGGCTTGGGGCTCTGCTTCTCTGTTGTGGATCTGTGTGGTTCCGTCTGTCCTGGCTTGGAACGAAATGATAGGGGTGGGAAACCGGACCGGAACGCGACCGTATGAATGAGAGAGAGAGATGGAGAAACTACTGAAGCAGGTAAGAGCGCGTGCGTGTGAGCCACAGCTTGTTTATTGGTGTGTGTGTGTGTGTGTGTGTGTGTGTGTGTGTGTGTGTGTGTGTGCGCGTGTTATATATATTACAACATATTTATCAAATTGGCGCTATAGAAATAAAGATTGATAGATCAAACCTTTCTATAAAAACTAAGTAATAATAATGAAAAATCTGCTTGCCATGTGTTGATATGTACCTCATCTGTATGCACTTTGAAGACCCATAACGAAGACATCTGGGCTCTGTGGCTCAGAGGATGAGTGGGTCATCCAATTACCTATAGGCAAACAGTTTGATCCTGAACTGTTGAAGCGTCCTTGTGTGAGATGCAATACAGTGAACTTGGTATGTACAGGATGTGTTTGGATGTGCAGTGGTTTAGATCTCAGATGTCTCTGAACATATTTTATGAATCAAAAAAAATCAAAATCCCTGATGAAGACAGTGTGATAGGCCTACATCAAATCCAGAATCAGTTCCTCAATTTAGTCTCTCTGTTTTGCAGATTGATAAGTCAATAAATGTATGTGTAAAAAAAAAAAAGGACAAATATCAAACGGCAGGAGTTGGAGTTGCTGATGTTACCGTTAAAACACTGCAACAGAACAATTTAGCCTTCTGGTGCCTGGAATAGCTGGAACCTGGACCCAACCAGCTCAACCATTGGTATCTATACAGAATCCTGCAGGAACCAGAGGGAAACTAACATTTACTTCCTGAAACCCATAGGAGCCCAAATCAATCCACAGTTATTAACAGGAACAAGAACCCAGCGGAGCCTAAATGAAGCCAAAAATGCCCTGAAGAACCAAGAGGAAACCAAAGGAGCCAAGAGTAACCCAATGGATACCTAAAGTACCCAGAGGAGCTTTGAGTAACTTGAAGGAAGCCAAAGGAACCCAAGAAGAACCTAGGGAGTCCACAGGAACAGAAATGACCATAGAGTAGCCAAGAGCTATAGGACAAACCCAAGAGAGCCCAAAGGAACATATATAAAGAAAGAAGCTACGAGAATCCTCAAAAACTCAACATTTCTTTGAAAAATCCAGAGGAACCATCAGTAACCAAAAGGAACCTGCAGAAACAGGAAAATATCAACAGAAAGCAAAACGAAGCCAAAATACCCAAAGGATAGCCCAGAGGAAATCAGATGAGCCAACAGGAACATAGAGTAACACAGAGTTTACAGGAGGAACATATAGAGTAGACTAGATGAACCAGAAGCTGCCCAGATGAACTTTGTCCTTAAACAACATAATTGATGATCCCTTTAAATCCCTCTCTTGGACCTTCTTCAGAGTAAGAATTGTTGGAAGCTCATCATCACTCGTGAATAATAACTTCTAGCCCTAAAATAACTGTAGAACTCGGATGATCCCAGGTTAGCTCAGATTAGCTAGTTCTGGACCTTGGTTAAGTTTATTTTTGATGAAATGTAAAAATATTGTAGACAGCTTCACATGTTCGTGAAGTCTTGAAGTTTCTCTCTTTTTGGTCTCATTGTCACATGGAGAGAAAGAGAGAGAGAGAGAGAGGGAGAGAGAGGGAGAGAGAGGGGGAGAGAGAGGGAGAGAGAGAGAGGGGGAGAGAGAGGGAGAGAGAGAGAGAGAGGGGGAGAGAGGGAGAGAGAGAGAGAGAGAGAGAGGGGGAGAGAGAGGGGAGAGAGAGAGAGAGGGGGAGAGAGGGGGAGAGAGAGGGAGAGAGAGAGAGAGGGGGAGAGAGAGGAGAGAGAGAGGGGGGAGAGAGAGGGGGAGAGAGAGAGAGAGGGGGAGAGAGAGGAGAGAGAGAGAGAGAGGGGAGAGAGAGGGAGAGAGAGAGAGAAAGAGAGAGAGAGAGAGAGAGGGAGAGAGAGAGAGAGAGAGAGAGAGAGAGAGAGGGGTATATTAATGCTGGAGGGTGCTGGCGTTTCACCAACATACATCATTCTATATATAGAACTCACACACACATACACTGGACCACACACACGCAGATGCACACACACACACACACACGCAGGTGCACACACACACACACACACACACACAGCTGAGGTCTGTTTCATTCAGTTTTAAAGGATGGACAATGAAATGAGAGGAAGAGAGAGAGAGAGAGAAAGAGAGAGAGAGAGAGAGAGGGGCATAAAATGACTGTCAGCACCTGAGGGGGCGATCGACACACTCATCCATCACTTCCTGTTTCTGTTTGCTCTTTTCATTCCTTCAGCCTCTTCCTCCTCCGCCTCTCATCTCATCACAATGTAGACAGACTGAGAAAGAGATACATAGAGAGACGGGGTGTCTGGGTAATGAAGTCCTCCTGCAGAAGGCTGCTTCTATATCACAGCGAAAATATTTCAACTAAATGACAAGTTTCCTGTTGTCATCCTGTTACTGCTTGGTAACCACCTAGCAACCACTAAGCAACCAATTATCAACAACATAGCAAGCTCTAAAATATCCTTAAAGGTCCTGACACACCAAGCAGACGGCAAAGAACTAGTGGCGACGAACGCCGCCTGTCGTTTGGCCTCACATCGTCTCACGCCTTGGTCAAAAAGTTGCACTAGAACACACCGCAAAGACTACAGCCGACGGCCAACCACCACGTCAATCTGCGCATGCGTGAGCAGCGGCGGTAGCTCGTTCTTATGATACGAGAAGCCCATTTCCAGACCGCTGTCGTTCACCACTTTGTATCATAGGTAGCCTACTAATCGAGAATAATGTCTGATAAAAAGTTGAAAATGGCGTTGTCAGCCCTAAGGAGAAACCTCTGAACAACCAATCAGAGTGATCCCTCTCACCGACCGCTGACGCCGATTCAACATGTGGAATCGGCCAAAAAAAAAGGCCAACGGAGCCGGACACACCGCAAAAACTAGGGCGACGATTGCTCACCGACGGTCTAACTAAGACTTAAGTCGCCAATAGCAACCACTTAGGATAACATTAAGCCATAACCTTTACACTGAGCAATCACTATGACACCTTGTAGCATCCAATCGCACTTAACAACTGAGCAATGATATAAAACCAATTCAGCAAGTACCGAGCAAGTGGATTAGCAAAAATGTTGGTGGTTTGATGGTTAGCATTAGCATCTCAGTAGCTGCGTTTAGCTGCCGGTACCTTCGCAGTAGGACGTAAGATTTTTGACGAGGAGGTGGGCTGATGTTCTTATTCATCACACCTCCTCACTGACAAGACACATCACACATTTCATGTTTTCTAAGATTTGAAACAGCAGGGAATGTGTTGTTTCGTCTGAAACTGCCGGTGATTCAGCTAAACACCACCTGCTGCTGCTGCTGCTGCACACGGACACACAGAGTCCAACAAATACACACACACGCAGGCATATACAGTAAAAGGTCCGATTGATGCTTGAAGTAGTTTGAGAACGAATACAAAACTGGGAAAAAACATTCAACTCTACGGCCTGTCGTGGGAAAACAGAAACTAAATGTTTACAGGTTAAATAACAAACCATACAATTCTACAATTCACTTAGCAGACGCTTTTATCCAAAGCGACGTACATCAGAGAGTAAGTACAACACAAGCAAGGATCTAGAAAAAAGGAACAATGTCAGTAAGAGCAAACGATCAGCTTTGAGTCTGATTGGACACACAGGTGCTGACAGGAAGTGACCAGAGGCAAAGCACAACATGACGGCAGTTCTTGAGAGCTCTAATCAGTATAGAAACCATCTTATAAGTCGTCGTTATCAAACAAAAACCATCATCATTACCATCATCATCATCAATAATATGGAGACCATCATCATTAAGTTAGTAGGTATTCATGAAAGAGCTGGGTCTTTAGCTTTTTCTTAAAGGTGCAGAAAAAGTTAATTTCACACAACTGCATGTTTTTCATCTCTTATTGCTGATTCTTGTTTTTCTTATTACCCTTAGTGACATAGTTAGCCCTGTTGTTTCACAGCAAGTAGTTTCCGGGTCATTGGGTAATTTCTTTGACAAATTATAAAAATGGTTACAATATTGACTCAAATATATGTGATTTAAAAAATTAACCTCCTAGTCTTATTTCAATTTTGACTGAAATAAGCTTCTATGCTGATGAAGAATATAATTACAACGGTTTTTTAAGATTACAGAATTAAAGCATATAAAAAAGTATTAGATTATGTTAAACATGTCTCAACAATATATAGGATTAATATAAAAATTAACACATTTAAAAAAAACATTACAATATAAATATATTAGAAGATAAAAACCATTCAAAGAGCAGATATGAGCTTGTGAAAAGTGTGTCTATTAGTTTGTGTTTTTAGTGATGTGTTATGGTCAAACATATGTGACCCCCCCCCCCCACACACACACACACACACACACACACACACACACACACACACACACACACACACACACACACACACACACACACACCACATGGTAACAGCTGATTGCCACATGAGCTCATGCCATGTGTTTGTATGTGGTGTAGCACTGTGTCTCATCTCACAGAACATCTGATGTTAAACACTCTTATGTTGTTTGAAGTTTTGGACCTACAGGTTTTAGTTGAGTTTAGTCGATGAACTGCAGGATTTTGCACTTCCTCATTTGCTTCATTTTTCAAGACCTGAGGTGACCGCCCTTTTAGAGGCAGGAACCTCGAGCAGAACCAGACTCATGTTGATCAGTCATCTGCCCACAGCTGTGTAGGAGCTCAGAGAGGGGATGGAGGGAGGTGGACTCCCTCTGTGATGTGAGTGGATTAGATTTTAAGGTTGACTGCGTATATGGTGTTAATGGAGCAAGTTTGAGGTGGACTAACTCTTTAGTGGGATTGAATAAAGACTTACTCTGTGGTATGACTGAGAAAGGGTTGAAGGACGACTATCTACAGTAAGTGACTGGATCAGAACTTAAAGGCGTTATATATGCGATTTTTTGATGCAGCAGATGTCGCCTTTGAGCACCAGCATGAAACCAAAACAACTCACGCTGCATTGTTGTGATAGCATGCTAATGCTAGCGATCTTTATTATGCACGTATCTTCACACTGCATGTAAATTTACCTGAAATGAGCGTGATCTAGAAACACAGTTAAGCAGTGAGTACAGTATGTTATTCTTCTTTTCTCTAGTCCCTCAATTAAACAACTTTTATACGTGAGGGGAGGAGTCAGCCGGCCGGCCCGGCGATGTAAACAAAGTGAAGATAGGACTCGGGAAAACTCTGAAAACATCACAGACAGTGGGACTCGGGTGTTACACCCATTGTAGACAGTCATGACTCACAGAGTTATTTTCAGAAGATATACTTGATTTCTACATTTAAGTGTGAAAAATCACATATGAAGCCTTTAAGGTGGACTGACATTGTTGAGTGATAGAATCATTGTTCCAGGAGCATTTGTCTGTGGTGTAATTGGACTCAGGATTTAAGGTGGACTGACCATATATAAACTGGATCAAGGTTTATGATGGAATACCTCTGTGGTGTAATTTGCTTAGGATTTAAGGTGGACTGACTCTGATTTGGAATCAGTTGGACTCTCAGTTTTAGCTGTTTGTCTTTCTGTGGTTATTATTGGTCATAACCTTGGCTCTGTGAGGATCTGTTGTGCTGCCTTCACTGACCTCTGCTCCTCTGAGCGTCGTGTCAGTCGACTCTTTTGGACTCTGGGGGTTTTCGATTGAACGTGACTCCATGTTCGACTCTGGCAGCTGTTGGACCTCATGGGGGTGCGTCCTATTAAGCTCAGGTGAATGAACAAGCTGTGGATGTGTCCTCAAACATTAGAAAACATTTGTACAAAAAATTTTAGAATATGTTAGAACATAAACTACCTCAAAAACACATCATAGTGGTGATTTACTCTTGTGGCCAAAATATAGCAACTAACACTTTGAAACATTCACCACACATGACAAAACCTGTGGACAAAACGAGCCGACACGGCATGCAGCACAGTAATCATTAATCTCGACTGTCTTTTATTATAGTGGGACGCCAAAATCCTAATTTACATTGAAACTCGATTAATTGCCTAGCACTACTTTATGTTCATCCATTGAGTACACATACAGATAATGTACAATGTAGACTCTACATATGTAGTTAATCTGTACATTTATATCTATGTATACTGTATATAAATACTGTGTCAATACTTACATGAATACAGTACAATCATTCTTATACAAAGAGTACCCCTATAATTTAGTTTCTACAAAACAATAATGTTGTGTGATCAAAACTTAGACATAGATGTCTATTTATTACATGAATATGTATATTTATTAAGTGTATTCATATGAAACATATTGACAGAAAGTACATAGTGCACATAAAGTGTTATGTATACAGTGCGTTCATATTTATTCTGTCTAATTATGCAGACACTAAATGTACTGATACAGTATTTGAATGCAGTGGTTTCATTATGACCCAGTACATGTGGTATTATACAGTAATTATAGAGGAGGCAGCAGTGGAGAGCCAACCATATGGACAACACCACCTGGGACCGCTTTGCCAATTTGAACGCTTCGCCTGCAAAAGACTCTCTCTCTCTCTCTCTCTCTCTCTCTCACACACACACACACACACACACACACATACACGCACAAGGTTCCTGCTGTGTTCAGCCTGTTTGTGTTTCTTTATTTATTTAAAGGGACGGTATGAATGAACTTCAAATGTAAATGCACTAAATTAGATAAAATGATCATTTTTAACCGTCAACATGCCACAACAGTGAAGATAGTATAACTGTAGAAGCAGATAGAGTAAATTTGAATAGCACATAATTCACCCAATTTTATCATTATCTTTGTCTTTATGTGATATCATATGATATAATATTGTATCCTATCCTATTCATGGTATCAAATTGTATCGCATCATAAATCATACCTTATTGTAATCTATTTTGACATGTCACATTGCACTGTATTGTATTTATCACATCATATCGTATCATTGTGTATTACAGGGTATCACATCCTACCTTATTGATAATAACTAGATTTGTACAGCATCTTTAAAAAAATGGTTTGCAAAGTGCTTTCACATACAAGCAAACGCAACATTAGAACAAAGCTTAAGAACTTAAACTATTCTACTTTAAAAATAAATATTGGCCTGGGGTGCTGGTGGCGCAGTGGTTTGTGCGTGTGCCCCATATATGGAGGCGCTGCTCCTGCAGCGGGCGGCCCAGGTTCAAATCCCACCTGTGGCTCCTTTCCTGCATGTCATTTCCTACTCTCTCTCACTGATTTCCAACTCTATCCACTGTCCTATCTCTCCATTAAAGGCACAAAAATAAATCTTAAAAAAATATTGGCCAAAAAAAAAAGATTCCATTGATGATTTGTCCTTGAGAAAAATGCTCTGGCTGCAGTGCTTTAAGCTAACATAAGCATGCGGCTCCTAATGATAATGACTTTAACTGTTTGCTCAGAGATGCTGAGGTGTTAGTTTAGTTTACACGTGACTCCTCCCACTGAGCTGCTGTGTTAGCCTACCCGAAAAGAATACACACAACCCACAGCTTGAGGAAGAGAGAGTCCTGATCACAGCCTGCTGTATTATTATATCCATACATCTGTGTGTGTGTGTGTGTGTGTGTGTGTGTGTGTGTGCGTGTGTGATTTGTCACGCCTAATGAATCATAATCAGTGAATATTTAACACACAGATATTATTTAATGACTCTAATTGTTGAAGTATTGAGTCATGGACGGGTGACTCTTCCCTCCTGGTATCTGATCAGAGAGTCTGGTGGAGAATCATCTCGTGTAAACCCCCTCAGTCATGTGACCATTTTAAACACCACTTGAGTGACGGGCGGACCGTCTGCTGTGTTGGAGGAAACACGACAGAGCCGAGAGAGGATTAAAGTTATGGAATCATTCAAACATAAGATGTGTTTTTTTTATTAGCTGATTTATTTTCAGCTATTTCCTGCCCTGGTTCCTGTGAGGCGGTCTGAGTCTGCGAGATGTTTAATGTGCTTATTAAAGTGTGGACAAACCAGCACCTGTCTGTCCGCCTGTCTGACTGACTGCATGCCTATATATCTGCCTGTCTGTCTACCTTTCAGGTAATGTGTAAGATGTGTTTACTGTCCACATGTCCATGTTTTTTTTTAAATTAATTTCAATAAATTCATACTTTCACAATGTGTTAATGTCTGTTTTCTTGCCTGTCTGTCTGTCTGTCTACCTGCCCTCCTACTGGTGTCTCTCCCTTTCTGTCTAACTGTACATCTGCCTGTCTGTCTGCTTATCTGTAGGTAACAGGTACATTTCCTCAGACCACGTGGTTGTAATGTTGTAAATCTGTGTTTTCCAGGTGGTGTGTGTCTGTGTGTTATTCTGTGGGCGAGTTTCCCCTGCAGAGTTAACCTGTGAAACTCTCATCCTGCTGTCGACCAACCTGACAGGTATAGCTTTCCTGTCTTTCTTACATTTTATTAATTCCCCCTTCCCCCCCGTTGCCCCCCCCAAAAAAAAATAAATAAAAGCTTAAATTTTCTGCCTTTTTGCTTTTTTTTATCCTCTGCTTGTTTCTGTGTTAGCGAGGACGTTGGCGTTGTTTAACCAGACGTTCACCGTCAGCAACACTTCAGGTTTGTACGGCTAACTTTGGACTCCATCATCACAGACCGACCTTTATTGTGGTTGATTGTAGCCGCAGCAGCGACATGATTAGCACGCCGATATATCAGTTCTATTCAATTCAATTAACAGATTTAGTTCAGTTCTTCTGATATAAATCAAAAGTCTGTCTGTCTGGTTGCAGGTCTGTACTGTGACCTGTCTGTGGATGGGATAGGAACGTGTTGGCCTCGCAGTGCAGCAGGAGAGCTCATCTCCAGACCCTGTCCTGAACAGTTCAACGGCATCCACTACAACACCACCAGTAAGTCCCTGTCTGTCTCGTAGACGGGAGGAACCAATAGTCACTGTTTCCGAAATGAAGCAAACGCATAAGTGTCTTACATCTGCATTCTTTCTGGTGGTCAGCAGGGGGCGACTTCACTGTTTTCTGATTGTATAGAATAAGAAAATGACCCGACTTCTCAGTTGATTTATTCAATCAGAAATTATTTTCCTCATGAGTAAAGTCTCAAGCTCTACTTTCAAGTCTTCTTCATGCAACTTGATGCTAATTTTGTAAATGATGATCACAATACAAGTCAAATAGACCATAAAGACAGGTGTGCTTTAAAATGGGACTACCTGTAAATCAGGATAGAGCCATAACAGTGGCCCTATTCAGACTGCCGTTTCAAGGTGTGATATGTACCACCCTAGGACGGTTCACCTTTAATCTAGATTTTGGGAAGGCAACATGGGGGGACGGAAATCTGAAAATCTGTTTCCACAGCAGACACACATTAGTTCCTGAAGAAGATCTTTAAAGCCCAACAATGACCAACATGTAAACATGTTTATTAGCTGTAAAAATGGGTGTTTTAAAATAGGTGTTACTGTTAATGGTGGATTCCTCAGGTTTTTCAGTCAGCCTCAAGTGGACACTCAAGGAACTGCAGCTTCCCAATATGGCATCCTGTTATGATGAACACAGAACTGGGACTCTGCTTATTGTCAATATAATACTGTCTTATCCCTACTCAGCCCTCAGCCAATCAGGAGTGAGCTAATAAATCTGAGCCAATCCCAGCTCTGCACTCCTGAGCTTTTACAAACAGTGAGGAGACACAGCAGAAGATCTGTGACTTTTTATCTGGTGCCAGCTGGCTCAATTACATCCATCTGCACACTGTGTGTGTGTGTGTGTGTGTGTGTGTGTGTGTGTGCCCGTGTGTGGTAAGATGTGTGTTTGTATTCAAATGTTTGTGTGAGTGTATTAATGAGTGTATGTGGGTGGCATTCAATTTCGTGTTTAATTAGAGGTTTAGTTGTTGATCTGACTTAATAGTGTGACTCATCAGTGTGTGTGTGTGTGTGTGTGTGTGTGTGTGTGTGTGTGTGTGTGTGTGTGTGTGTGTGTGTGTGTGTGTGTGTGTGTGTGTGTGTGTGTGTGTGTGTGTTTGCGTGCGGAACCAGCTGGAGTCTCACTCCATCATCTTCAACATCATCACCTTCACATTGGGTGAAAAAACCCTCTCTGCCTCCCTTCACTTTTCATTAAATCTCTCGCCTCTGATTGGCCAGGCTCAGCTAACATACATGCTAATGAGCTAACTGTCACCAGCAATAAGTGGGTGTATTGATTCATTCAGCTTATCAGTTACCGGAGCAGCTAAGCCTGGACTTATTGATCGAGCCGGCTGCATGAAACCGCCCTCCTCCTCCTCCTCCTCCTCCTCCTCCTCCTCCTCGTCGGGGGACTCGAGGCGATGTGACACCGGTTAGGACCAAATTACATCTCTGGTGTTGCCGCGTTTTACGCTGCATCCATTCAAAGTGATATCTAAAGATTGATTGTAATAAAGCAGTTAATTGAATGAGCTTTTATTTTAGCAAATTTAATTAATCCTTTATTTAGGCAGGATGGTCCCGCTGAGACACAAGATGTCTTCTACACGGGGGATCCTGCTCATGTTGGCAGCGCGTTAAAAATACACAAATTATACACGGAGCAACACACAGGAAGTAGAAGAGAGGCACACAGGACAAACCCGTGATATCAATAAAATCTAATTAGGAAGGAGGAACATGTTTGTGAAAGAGCTGTACAGAAGCAAAAGGTCTATTCCTTTTCTTCACCTCCTTCTCCTTCTTGTCCCTTTTCTTCTCCTCCTGATTAGCTTCTTCTTCTACCTCTTCTTCGCTCTCTTGTTCTTCTTCATGTTTTTATACTTCTTCGTCTTCCTGTTCTTTTTTCTTCCTTCACTTCTTCTTCTTCTTCTTCATCATCTGAAGACTTCTCCAATTAACTCAACCAATCGACAAGTTTGAATTAGCTGCCTTCAATTACATGCCATGATCTTTGTCTTTCTAACTCTGTGTGTTGTGTGTGTGTGTGTGTGTGTGTGTGTGTGTGTGTGTGTGTGTGTGTGTGTGTGTGTGTGTGTGTGTGTGTGTGTGTTCTGCGCAGACAAGGTGTACAGAGAGTGTCAGTCCAACGGCAGCTGGGCTCCTCGAGGAAACTACAGCCAGTGCACCGAGATCATCGTCCTGGTAAGTCCGATCGATGCATCCGTCAATATGAGGTTATTGCAGCAGGGAGCAGGTGGAGGTGTAGACCGGGGAGTGTAAATAACAGTGGATGAAGCCTGAGTGGCGTCTACCATCGGTTACTAAAAGGGGACTTTGCAAGCCCATCAGTGCTGTCTCAACCTAACTTTCAGTCTACCTAATGACAGTCTGACACGAGTCTCAAACCTTTTGACGCACAGCTTCTTCCGCCTGTCAGTCAGCACCTAATTATACATTTTGCTAATCCATCATAAATTCTCCCCCTCTACAGTGTGTGCCGATACGAGGCTGTATTCCGAACTATATACCTATATCCATGCTGTATACTGTTTGGTACCTACTATTCAGTATGCACACACTGTAGGCAGATATTTGTTCCTACTTCGTCTGATTCATTCATTTACGTTTCCCGAACTGGACGCATCCACCCGTTTTTTTGTTTTGTTTTTTGTTTAGCTTTATTCAAGAGGAGTAATGCGCATATACTGTCAGGTAAACAAAAAACAATATCACAATGTAAATCAAGTAAAAGGCAGATTAAATAACTAAATAACATACAGTACATAAAGGAAAGAACAAATGAAAGACAGTAATATACAGAATATAAAGTAAAATAAACCAATAAAGACGCATTTAAATAGTTAAATCATTATTTAAATAGAGGGAGAAATGTTTTATAATAATGCAGATATTTGTTATATTTTCAGTTGTTAATTAAAAGTAGTGATTTCAGTTGAGACTTTAACTCTAGATGTTTGATTTGGAGGCGAACGTGACGTGATGATTTACGTTTTAATTTCGCACAGCATTGTGAGAGTTAAAATACAATTTCATTTATACTGCATGAAACCCAGAAGTTAGTATCCATACTGAAATGTTCAGTATACTGAAACTCCATACTGAAAAGTACTGACTACTGAACTGTGGCTATTCGGAAAAGGCCTCAGTTTATTTTAAATCAGACATTTTAATACGGGGTTTGTATTGGACTTCCTGATCTTTGGGAGCCAGCCTCTAGTGGACACTCAAGAAACTGCAGTTTTTTGCACTTACCACATTGGCTTTATTTTCAACACCGCTGGTTGCCTCTTGGTGTAGACGGGTGGAGACAGAGAGATTAGGGGCCTCTGGGGGGGACTTGGGGGAAATGGGAGAAGGAACAGGGTCAGTTAAACTTCATTATCGGTGATAGAACAATGAACTGATCAATAACATTTAGCCCATTGACGTAAAGTGTAATCTTACTGACTTAAATCAAATGAACAGCACCGCTAACCTCATGTTTCTAAACAAAGACAAAACCTTTTGTGAGTGTGTGTGTGTGTGTGTGTGTGTGTGTGTGTGTGTGTGTGTGTGTGTGTGTGTGTGTCTACAAAACAAATACTGATACCTGACCCAGTCCAAACAGAAAACGAGTGCCTGTACGACAAAAGAGAAAACATTTTACAAATAGGGACGAAAGATGACGAGAGGCACAGCGGCGAGCTGAAAACAAACTGACTGTCAACAAGCCGGCCGAGCTTCTGAAGGTGTGAGTGGAGCGCGCCTCACATCTGATTGGTTAATTGTTTTTGCTGCTGCTGCATACCAATCAGGGTTCAACAGAAGCAGCAGCACAGGTGAAGGAAATCTGGAATGCAGGATGCACTTTCAAACACACACACACACACACACACACACACACACACACACACACACACACACACACACACACACACACACACACACACACACACACACACACACACACACACACACACACACACACATTTCTTTTTAATGTTGTTTAGTTGTTGTTGTTTTGGGCGTCCTTGTGGTTTTTGCTTTTGGTTGCTAGTTGTTGTTTGTGTTCTGAGTGTGTTTGTTGGTAGCTGCTCTGTTGCTTGATTGATTTTGTTATTGTTGATGTTGTGGTTGTTGACATTCTGTTTTTATGTCGTAATAAATGTTGTTATCGTTAATTTGTTTTTATTTTATTTTGATATAATTTTGGTTGCTATTGTTTGGTAACGTTCTTCTT